AAAAGGTGAATTTTTTATTCTGTGTGAAAACAGTAAAAAATTACTTATTGTGGATCAGAGGGAGTTAATATTATATTGATAGTCATGTTTGAGTTATAAAATAGAGAGTATAGTTTATGGATTCACAGGAACCTTTTTGCGTCGACTATATATTTGTATTAAGAAATTCACGAAATGTTTATAAATATTTGATTGTGAATCCAAGTATATTGTTTAACTTGTGATTGCAGTATAAACTCATAATCTTTAAATTCTGAATCCGCCTCTATAATATATTTCCTATTTTGGTTCCGGAGATTAAGCCTCTTTAAGTTATAATTATAAAAGTAGTATTTGTGTTAGTTGTATGCAAGTTAATATGGTTTGGCTTATTGGGAATAGTAATCCCAGATATTAACGATTGATTGAATTATAAATATTTTATACAATTTAAATAAGAAAACGTTAATACATAAAATTTAGTTAATTTTGAAGTCTTAAATATTAGGAAAATAATTAACTAATTATTCTTAAATATAAGAAAAATAATTAAAACGACTATTATATATATATATGTAAATGATGTAAAATTACATTATGTAATTGATTGATCGAAAAAAATATATGTTAGTCAAAACTCAACTAATTTGGTCAATATAAGAACAGAATGAGTTGAACTAGTTATGGTTACTTCCGTCAACGAGTAGACTCATTAGACCAACTTTGTCAAGTATAAAGCAATAAACCTATCACAATTTAGTGCATAAAAACATTGCATTATAATTTTTAAATAAATTAAATAAGCAGGGCGGGGCGGGGCAAGTCAAAATTTTGGCGGGCAAAAATTTTACATGCCCCTCCCTGCTTTGTCTCGTCTCATTTATCATCCCTACTTAAGTAACGCTTCAAAATTTATCAAAATATAAAATATCAACGAACTAACTTTATTTGTTAATACTACGTATTTAGAAGCAAATAGAAAAGAAAGAAAATCAAGTGCATTAGCTAATAAAACTTTAAAAGAAACTATTGAATTCTTTTCCTATGAAGAACTTTACTTACTAAATTTGCCAAAATCAATATTAGATATAATTATATTACTATAATCAAGAAGAAATTAATTCTAATTTTTCAGATGCTATAGGCTGACGTGTTCTCATCAATTTTGTTACGTATTTCAAAATATAATTTGAAATTTACTTAATCCTAGTAATATTACAATTGTAACAACTATAACCATTTATTGAATATCTTTATCTCTAATAATCATAATATATTCTTTTTAATGAAATATCTCTATTTTTTTCGTAACGGAGTCTTTTACACACTAAATATTACTCCTTAATATTAATTGTGATACGTCTAGTGTACTTCGACCCTATAAGATCATTAAAATTTATATCCATAGCAAAAGAAGGTAGATGTTTAGAATATAATTCGAAGTCAAATTGTCGTAAATCCGACGTTATTTTAATTATTTGCTCTTTTAGATAAGGAGATGATTTATTTTGTTATAGGGGCCATGTCCTGTAATCCAATTATTAATATCCCAATATCTCTATCTGATTAAACAAAAGATTGTTTAATAGTTTGTAAGCTTGTATGCAAATATATATANTGATTGATAGTTGAATTACTATTGGCGAATTGACTGACTCACATAGTTGTACAAAATTTATTGTGTGTATACATTATAAAATCTCATTTCCTTCGATTTATTTTATCATGACATATATATGACATCATAATAATTACGCGCGTGCAATTTACGTAAACGTATAAAGAGCAGACTACTTAATATGCTAATATTCTTAAACCAAAATTTTTTTGGTGAAGAAATAGAAGCATACCATAATTCTTATCTTCTGTTATATGTAATAGAATCTAACTCCAAACTATTTACGCATATATTTTGTAAATAGTAAATCATAATTCGTATCTTGTGTTTATACATTGTATGTAAAATATTACTCTCGGCCTTTTATTTTATCATGACATGTATATAGCCATGATAATGCGCGTGTAATTTACGTAGATAATGTATAAGAAGCAGATTGTTTATGCTAATATTCTCATACCCAACTATGGTCAAAAAACAACGAAGGATATTGCGGTCCGTATCTTGGTTTATATGTAAAATCTCACTCTCGAGTCTCGGCTATATATTTTCATAAATAATACACAGATAACAGACTATTTATGCAAATTTCCGACCAAATTGTAGCAAAAAGAAATCAAGAAGCATAAAACAATTATTAGCTTTTGCTTATGCATTCTAAGAACTCATCCCAACTTCTCATTTTATCATGACTTGTATATAACCATGATAATGCGCGTGTAATTTTATAGATAATGTATAAGAAGCAGGCCGTTTATGCTAATATTCTCATACCAAATTTTGGTCAAGAAACAATGAAGCATATCGCGATCCGCATCTTGGTTTACATGTAAAATCTAACTCTCGAATCTCGACTATTTTCATAAATAATACACAGTTAACAGACTACTTATGCGAATTTCCGACCAAATTGTAGCAAAGAAATCAAGAAGCATATAACAATTATTATCTTTTGCTTATGCATTTTAAGAACTCATCTCAAACTTCTCATTTTATCATGACATGCATATAATCATGATAATGCGCGTGTAATTTACGTAGATAATGCATAAGAAGCAGATCGTTTATACTAATATTCTCATACCCAAATTTGGTCAAGAAACAACGAAGCATATCGCAATCCGTATCTTGGTTTATATGTAAAATCTCACTCTCGAGTCTCAACTATTTTCATAAATAACACACAGATAACAGACTACTGATGCAAATTTCCGACCAAATTGTAGCAAAGAAATTAAGAAGCATAAAACAATTATTAGCTTTTGCTTATGCATTCTAAGAACTCATCCCAACTTCTCATTTTATCATGACTTGTATATAACCATGATAATGCGCGTGTAATTTAATAGATAATGTATAAGAAGCATGCCGTTTATGCTAATATTCTCATACCAAATTTTGGTCAAGAAACAACGAAGCATATCGCGATTCGCATCTTGGTTTACATGTAAAATCTAACTCTCGAATCTCGACTATTTTCATAAATAATACACAGTTAACAGACTACTTATGCGAATTTCCGACCAAATTGTAGCAAAGAAATCAAGAAGCATATAACAATTATTATCTTTTGCTTATGCATTTTAAGAACTCATCTCAAACTTCTCATTTTATCATGACATGCATATAATCATGATAATGCGTGTGTAATTTACGTAGATAATGCATAAGAAGCAGATCGTTTATACTAATATTCTCATACCCAAATTTGGTCAAGAAACAACGAAGCATATCGCAATCCGTATCTTGGTTTATATGTAAAATCTCACTCTCGAGTCTCAATTATTTTCATAAATAACACACAGATAACAGACTACTGATGCAAATTCCCGACCAAATTGTAGCAAAGAAATTAAGAAGCATAAAACAATTATTAGCTTTTGCTTATGCATTCTAAGAACTAATCCCAACTTCTCATTTTATCATGACTTGTATATAATCATGATAATGCGCGTGTAATTTATATAGATAATGTATAAGAAGCGGGCCTTTATGCTAATATTTTCATACCCAAATTTGGTCAAGAAATAATGAAGCATATCGCGATTCGTATCTTGGTTTACATGTAAAATCCCACTCTCGAATCTCGACTATTTTCATAAATAATACACCGATAACAACCTATTTATGCAAATTTCCGACCAAATTGTCGCAAAGAAATCAAGAAGCATAAAACAATTATTATCTTTTGCTTATGCATTCTAATAACTCATCCCAACTTCTCATTTTATCATAACATATGGAGTATATATATTTGCTAATATATTTGGACACAATTCGTATCTCGTTTACACAGCGTACATAAAATCTCACTCTCGACTTTTTATTTTATCATGACACGTACATGACAACAATAATAATGCACGTGCATTTTGCTTAGATACTGTAAAGAAAACCATATCGTTTATACTAATATATTCTTAAACCAAAATTTTAGTGAAGAAATAGAGAATCGTATTATAATTCTTATGTTGTGTGTACACGTAAAATTTTACTCCCGACTGTTTATACATGCATACAATGCATAAATAGTAGACTATTTATACTAATCAACCAAAATTTAGTGAAACATAGAGACGTATCACAATTCTTATTTTGTATTTATACGTATCTCACTCCTGCTTAATTATACATACAATATATAAATAGCAAACAATTTCTACTAATCTCAAACCAAAATTTGGTGAAAAAAACAAAGAAGCGTATCGTAATTTTTATCTTGTGTTTATACGTATCTCACTCTCGCCTAATTATACATACAATATATAAATACCATACAATTTCTACTAATCTCAAACCAAAATTTGGTGAAAAAAACAAAGAAGCGTATCGTAATTTTTATCTTGTGTTTATACGTATCTCACTCTCGCCTAATTATACATACAATATATAAATACCATACAATTTATACTAATCTCAAACCAAAATTTGGTCAAAAAAACAAAGAAGCGTATCGTAATTTTTATCTTGTGTTTATACGTATCTCACTCTCGCCTAATTATACATACAATATATAAATACCATACAATTTCTACTAATCTCAAACCAAAATTTGGTGAAATAAACAGAGAAGCTTATCACAATTCTTATCTTGTGTTTACACATTATAAAATCTTAACCCCCGAATATTTTGCTATATCAGATTCTATGTCTATTACATGTGTAGTCAACTTGTTTTCTACTATAAAATAGACCATATATAATATTTCTTTCTTTTAGTCTCAATCCTTTTAACATATCACAGGTATGTAGAAATCTCTTTTATCTCTTTTCTCTTTGTTCAATTATTATTATTATTTCATATATAAGTGGATTGTGTTAAAAATAAATTAAACAAACACTTTTTTTGTGTTTTTTTCTTTTAATTTTTTAAATTTTGTTTTGAATAGAAAAGCAAAGGAAAATGGATGATTCTGGGAATGAACAAATTGGAGAATCCTCAAGCTCTAGAAAAAGATCAAGGAGGCAGAAGCTGTGCAACAGACATTCTGTGGAACAAATTCAGCAGCTTGAAACGTAAGATTTTAATTATTTGAAAGATTTTTTTTTAAAAAAAAATAAAAAAAATTGCACCTTCATATATGGCCAATTTTTTTTATTTACAAAAAAAATAAATTGGTATAAGGAAAATGTAGTAGATAGAAATGAGTGTTAAAACAAAATTGATTAACTATAAAATTAAATACTTTCTTTTTCTATATGTTTTTTTTTTGTGCATTTATATTATTTCTTATTCATTTCATGTCTTTTTTGGTCCTTTTTTCCTTATAAGCCCATTAAAATTTAGTAAAAAGATCAATAAAATTGATTTTTGTATTTAATATTTTGATTTACTTGCTAAAATGGTTCAAAAAGAGTTTATTTGGATGATGATCTACCATATAAATCCTCTTTTATACATGAAAAACAGGTTGTTCTTGGTTTATACATTAACTTTTACATAAGGGTGTGATTTTCTTCTGATCTCTTCTCGTTACATTAGAAAATTCTCATGCAACGGGCTTTTTTCACTTTTAGCTAGTGCCAGAAACTATTTATATTCAGTAGCTGAAAAATTGTATAAAATTTGTATATAACATACAATATATATATATACACACACACACACACACAACAACAACAACAACTATATACAAAAAAATATGTATTTTTTCGGTTATTATTTTGAGAGCGGCTATACAATGTTATTTTTCCTTCTTCTTTTTTTAGGTTTATTGGAAAAAAGTTGGTGAATACTTGGTTAGTTGAACACCATTAGTCGAAAAATTATACTGTGTATATATAGGTCAAAAATTACTTTTATACATGTATACTAAGTCTTGAATACTCTTAAGAAATATTTTTGACTTCGCCACTGAATACTGATAATGTTTTTATTTTTTTTATTTGTTTTGAATATTAAAATGAAGATTTTTCAAGGAATGTCCACATCCAGATGAGAACCAGCGACGTCAATTGAGTAGGGAAATAGGGCTTGATCCTAAGCAGATCAAGTTTTGGTTTCAAAACAAAAGAACTCAAACAAAGGTAATTTAATTTAGTCCATTTTTTATATGCATTACTGATTTAATTATTAAATAATTAATTATAATTAATTGACACCTTGATTATTGATCATGGATAGTAAATTAATTGAAGTATGTGAAAATCTAATAAAAAGCGACTTATAAGAGATATATATGAATTACAATTGAAAAAACCGATTAATTATTAGTAGGGCCGGCTCTAGGGTGAGGCCATTAAAGTCCTTACGTTCGGCCCAAAAAGTAAAGTTTCCATTAAAATAATTTTATGGTCTATTATTAAAGTTTAATTTTAGTAAAAATAGCACGATATAGTCAGTTTTCGGACTGGTCATTCAAAAATAGTCAGCATTTACGAAGTCAATGAAAATAGCTACTATTTTGCTGCAACAGAGACCGGTCCAGAATAATAATCTGGAGTTCGGTGCACCTGTGTATGAACTCCTGCATATTATGCTGGACCGGTATACCTTGCTGACTCCAGTATAATATACTGGGGACTGGAGCACCGGTGCTCCAAACTCCAGTATATTATACTGGACAATTATACTTGCTGGAACACCAGTATATTATGCTGGAGTTCTAGTGTACTTATGCTGGAACTCCATCATATTATGCTGGAGTTCCAGCATACTTATCCTGGAACTCCAGTATAATATGCTGGAGTTCAAGCATACTTATGCAGGAACTCCAGTATAATATACTGACATATTTTTTGGGTTTTGAACAGTGTTTTCGCTCAGATTTATCTTTACATGAAAAGTGGCTAAATTTCGATTACTTTTGAAATTGGGTTATTTTTGAACGACCAGTTGTAAATTTGGCTATTTTTTAATTTCTCCCTTAATTTTAGGCCTCAAATTTCATTCCGCGCCCTTGATTAAATAGTATTATAATAAAATCAGGTCAAAGTAATGGAATTTTTTTTTCTATTTTTGCTAGATTTTTGGGAAGTTACATAATTTCCAGTTGAAGCCACAAAAAATCTGGTGTTACAGCTAGGGACTAATGATTATTCCTTTCTGGAATCATTGACGAATTACAGAAATCTAGAGGGCTAAAAATGAATTATAGCCCAATTTGATAAACTCTAAGTTTTAAATTTTTCTAATAAATTTTTTAATTAGGGAAACTTCCTAATAATTTTTTTTTTCTTTATTATGAAAATATTTTAACATATCATACAAAAGAAAAATTTTAAAAAAAACTTTCGACAAATTTTTTTGTGATCTTTACACAAATAGCCGACCATATTCACTGTTTACCTTTTCTAGCCATATACATAGATTGTATATTAATTATACACGATTATACATTTATAATACATAAATTATGCATATATTATACCTCAACGGCCTATTTTTAGTTTAAGCAGTTGAGTGAGCAGCTATTTGGATTAATTCTTCAATTTTTTTCTATTGAGGTAATTTGGGCTACATGTTTAATCCAAATCAGCCCAGCTAACTTGAACTCCCCAGATTGGGCCGACATGATATGCCAGCCCATTATGACAAATTTTGAGAAATATATATTTTTAGTCTCACCCACAAATAATAGCCGATAAAATGTATATTTTTGTGTATGTATATATATTTTATAAATTTTTTGGCTAGTAAATAAAATTACTCTCGACCGACCGACAAATTTTATATTTTGTCCACTAATTTTGGATCCTTCAAAAACTTTAAAACTCGGCTCCAAAGTTCTATTTTTCATTTTTTAGTGCCATTCTGTGAATGATTTTTTTTTCTCGTTCCTACTTTATCTAAAATTTCTAACTTCCCTTCCAACTTAAATTATATAATAGACATTTTCCTTCTTCTATTTTCAATTGATTTTTTTAAATGCTTATTTCTTTTTTTACTTTATTTAGGCAAATAAGTTATACTGGGTTGTTGTTGTTGTTGTTGTTGTTGTTGTTTTAGGCATATAAGTTATTTATAACGTTATGAAGAATGAAAAAAAGAATAGAATAAAATTTGTTAGTATCACTAATTCTAGTAAAACAATTAAAACTCAAAAAATCTATTAGCTCAGTTGAAAATAAAATAAAAGGAAGAATTAACCCATTAACCCAAGTAGCCAATCACCTAATCTATTAAACTATAAATAGCCGGTGGATGTATAATATATATACACAATTCAAATATAATATATATATATGTATAATCAATGTACAATCTATGTATACCAACTAGAAAAAGTAAATATTGTATTTGACGGGCTATTTGTGTAACAATCTAAACGAGCGGGAGTTTTAAATATATATATATATTCAACACATAAAACAAATAAAATTTATTAAAAATAGATATATTCACACATTTAAAAATATTCTTTCCAAGAACTACTAATTTCATTTTCTTATTAAATTTAATTAGCTAATAATCTGATTTATTTATCTATATATTTATATGATTATTTGTATATAATATTACAGGCACTAAGTGAGAGAGCAGACAACAATATTCTTCGAACAGAAAATGAAAGATTTCATTGTGAGAATATGGCAATGAGAGAGGCACTGAAAAATATTATTTGCCCACACTGTGATGGTCCACCCCCTGGAGAAGAAGAAAGGAAACGTAATTTAGAAAAAATGAAAATGGCAAATCAACGTTTGAGAGATGAGGTAATTATTTATTTATTTATTTGTTATTGTATTTAATTAAAACTGCTATATTGTCTCTTCTCTTCTCGTCTTTTTCGTCTTCTTGAACTGAGGGTCTTTCGAAAACAACCTCTCTATTTCATCGGGGTAGGGGTAAGGTTTGTGTATACACTACCCTCACCAGACCCCACTTGTGAAATTTTACTTGGTCGTCGTCATTGTTGTTGTTGTTGTTGTTATTTAATTAAACTTTTTTTTTGGTAATTTTTAATTAAATTTTATTGACTACAAAAAAGATCTTTCATGAGTATTAGAGTATATGTAAGCATTATTGTGCATTATATACAAAAGTTTTGAATTTACCTTTTCATCAATCTTAGTTAGATTGAGGAAAAAGAATTACTTACGAATATATAACAAGAGACCGAGGCAGATTTATGTTTTAAACTTGATGAGTTTGGTCTTTATTTTTGCACACCACTTATTGTATATATGAAATTATGGGTTTGATTTAATATTTGTAGGAATATTAGTCAGGTTTTACATATATCTTTATATTAAATTTAAAAGTATTGGGTTCGGAAGAACCTAATGCTTATGTGTTGCACACAGTGGCGGGACGCACATGTGGCAAGCTGGTTCAACTGAACCCGCTTCATCAAAAAATAATATTGTGTGTGTACATGCATAAATTACGATTAAAGCTGTATAAATTTTGTATAAATACTTTATTTGAACTCACTTGACAACTACTATTTTACAATTAAAATTATGTACTTTTAAGATTTAACCCGCTTGCACAAAATTCTGGTTCCGTCACTGATTGCACATGCCCCTAAAAAGAGAGATCGTCCTGATCGAGCAATCAATGAATTGAACGAAAATGGTTTACGTTATTTTTGCATAATAACTTAACCTTTTTATAGCAGGTTATTTACTTTATTTTTTATATTATCCGACCATGTTTATCATAATATATAATTACCAATTATAGTAAGTAACATAACTTATGATTCAGGTGTGCACAAGCTGGTCTAACACTAGCTTTTAAAAAAGAAGAAGAAAAAGTTGGCAATTGAAGTTTCTATATATCCTCATCTTATCACTATTTATGACCTTACACTTTTAATTAGCTTGGTTTCATTAATATTTCATTGCATAATTTAAAAATTATTGTTAGAAAATTTAGTATTTTTTCATCTGTTTTTTGTCTCTTACGATATTGATATTATTTTTCTGGCTTCTGGGTTGTCACTAATCTATTATTTATTTTCGTCTTCTTGAGCCGAAGGTCTTTCGGCAATAGCCTTTCTACCCCTCCCGGGTAGGGATAAGGTCTGCGTACACTCTACCCTCCCCAGACCCCACTTATGAAATTTTATTGGATTGTTGTTGTTATTATTTTTCTTCGTATTTTATTTCTCATCCTTTTTACGGACTTATTTAAAAAAAATATTTTAATTTTTGCAGCATGAAAGAATATCTAATTTGATCTCCAATTTTGTGGGAAGGTCTTTTGCAATGACTTCACAATTAGCACCACAAAATAATGTTGGATCTTTATCAAGTTCATCTGATGAAAGTTTGGTTAGCCAAAATATAATTAACTCTCCCATTGAAAATCAACCAAATAATGTTCGAGGAAATTCAACAGCTAATATTCCACCGCCACTACTACCACCACCACCACCACCGCCGCCATTTGAAGAAAACGAAGAAATTCGTGTTGACCGGGAAAAATCAATAATATTTGGGACTGTGATTACTGCAACAGATGAAATTGTGGAGCTTTTCCAAATGAATGAACCAATTTGGATTAAGTCACAAATTGATGGGAGATATTTTATTAATCGTGAAAGTTATGAAAAGATTTATCCAAAGCCAAATCAAGCTTATAAATCTGCTGCTCGTATTGAATCATCAAAGGAATCTGGAGTTGTGACAATGACTGCAATTGAGCTGATTCAAATATTTCTTGATCCAGTAAGTATGCATTTTGGATAAATATTTGTTAAAGTTGAGAATCAAAAATATTTTAATAAATTTTAAAAATATTTGAAATTTAATCAGATACTTATAATTTTTTTGGAATTTTTGAAACTTACTGAAAAATCGGGTACAATTGAAGAAAAAAATTAAGACCCCATTTGTCCATATAATTTTTTTCCTTTTAAAAAAAAAATTCAAAAATGTGTTTGTCAATGAAATTTTGCAATTTTTTGAAAAATTTTCGAAAATAAATTTTTCAAAAATCACTTTTTGAAAATTTTCAGAAAAACTTTTTTCCTCACTCACAAAAGAACAATATTTTTTCAAGTGAAATGTACATCCAAATATAATTTTTAACTTAACTCCAAATACTATTTTTTTCTTTCAAAAATTATAATTTTTATGTCCAAACGCCCACTAAGTTCCATTGCTTTCTAGGAGTACCATTTAATTAGTCATGTCAGAGTTGTATGCTAGTAGAAAAATATAGATAATATCTAGTACTTGTTTATTTATTTTTTTAATTTTATTCCGCATAATATTAGGCTAACGTGAGTATAAGTGGAGCGATATGGATAGTGAAAATTCATAGAACAGAGCCCAACTTGCTTGGGAATTAATTTAAGTGTAGTTATTGTTATTATTATTATTATTATTATTATTATTATTATTATTATTATTATTATTATTATTATTATTATTATTTAATCTCATACTTTAAAGATGACGAATTTAATTTGTATATGCAGGTCAGATACATGAACATGTTTCCTACTATTGTCACAAAAGCTAGGACAATTGAAGTTGTTGATACTGAGAATTTCGGAGGCTCTGTACAATTGGTATAAAAAATTTAATCCCATCTTTTATTATCTTTTAGGAAAATAAACATCAAAATTGTGCTGCATTAAAAATTATGTTGCGCGAACTATCCAAAATAATGCCGGGCGCATCCGTGCCGAGGATCCAACATGGACTCGATGATATTTTCAGAGAGTCCGAGCAATATAGATTAAAATGATATACCTACCGTGGTGCATTAAAAACTATGTTGCACGAACTCTCCAAATGATATTGCATCCGTGTCAGACCCTAAAAATTCACTACTTTTGAAGGATCCGACACGTACCTGATGATATTTTCAGAGAATCCGGGCAACATAGATTAAAATGATATACCTAACTTTTTAATTTGCTTCTTTGGAACAGATGTATGAAAAGTTACATATTCTATCTCCTCTTGTGGGAGCTAGAGATTTTTTCTTCATTCGTTGTTGTCGACAACTTGATCCAACAACATGGACAATGGTTGATGTTTCATTTGATAATTTAAGAGAAATTCAAAGTGGTGGACCTTCTCAGTCATGGAAGTTTCCTTCTGGCTGTGTTATTCAAGATTTGGGCAATGGGAAAAGTATGGTAAGAATATTGTCTATGATTACACAAGTTATGTGATATGTTACAAAGATATTTATCATATGTTATTTTGTGTAAGAATTTTTCACGATACCACCAAACTATAAGCCTTTGAGGTATAAACCTCTATGTAACAACATCCCTACATAACAATTATTTACTATAAAAGTCAAGTTTTTCTCGGAACTAATTTCTTTATTAATATTATAATATACGTCCTCTATAACAATATTTCACTATAACATCTAAAAAATATCAGAATAAACGAGACTATAATACATAAGTTTAACTGTAGTAGTATTTCGATATGCTTTTCTATAGGTTGAATATCATGTAATTAGCAAAAAGGGAGCTATAGGATCCGAAAGGAGTTCAATTGAATTCTTTTTGTAAGAAAATTATATTGCGCAATAGGGGTAAAAATAAATATTTTCAGTATATATATAAATTGTTAAATCGCCATATTACTTTAAATTTAATCATATCCATAATATTCTTGTTCTGTTTTTGAATCTCTTTATTAGAATTTCTGTCTTTAACCTTACCAATTACCGTTTACGTCTTACACAACTAGTATTTAATGTTTACTTTTTCTAGTTAGTATACATAAATTATATATTAATTATACACAAGTACACATATTATACATAAATTATATTATATATCCGCCGGCTATTTCTAGTTTAAGAGATTAAGCGGACAACTATTTGGATTAATTCTTCTATAATTACGCTTATTATTTTGTCTTTTTCCCTTTTAATCCCCTCCTTTTGGTTATGATTAAGATTCTTAAATTTCAATTTTTCTCTTGTAGGTTACTTGGCTTGAGCATGTTCATGTGGATGACAAAACTCATACTAATCGTCTCTATAGAGATTTAGTGTGTGGTCGTCAAACATTTGGAGCTAAGAGATGGATAATTACACTTCAAAGGATGTCTGAGAGGCACAATTTTGCAATGAATGCAAACAATCATGATTTTGGAGGAGGTTTAAATCCATTCCTATTCCTTTTCCTTTTCCTTTTTCCTGTCGGTCACGAGTTCGAGTCGTCATTAATGCTTGCATTAGGGTAGGTTGTCTCCATCACACCTTTGGGAGTGTGGTTCTTCCCCGAACCCTGCATGAATGCGCGATGCCATGTACATTGGGCTGCCTTTAATTTGTCACAAATTTTATTCAAGACACCTAAACTAAGGGTCTGACACAGGTGTATTGAATACCATATGTTGTTGCATGTCTGCTACCTGATAGTGGCGGGACCGATAAGCTTCAAATTCTAATTCCTCCTCTACCACTTGACATACAAGGCAGATACACCTTACATAAGTCCAGCTCTATATATGTTATTAGTAAAGCGCTTTACGTAAGTTCAGCCCTATATATGTTATTAATAAAGCGCTATCTAAAGTAAGGGAAGCTTTCTTGCTCATTAGCACTGTTTTTTTTATTGCAGCTAGGGGGACCTTTTTCTTTCTCAAAGTAAACTTCTTCGCTCGTTAGTCAAGCTTTGAAGTCCCTGCTTTATTTAGATTTATGGAATATTTGAAGAAGTGGTGCCATATGACACTGCTTTGTCAAATTTTTTATTAAATATGTATATATAGATCGTATACAAAATGAAAAAACTAGTTATAAATATAAAAAAAAATGACATTGCTTGTTATTATAGTGATTTATTCATTCGTTCATTTCTTCAAATATTGATACCGCTCCAAAAATCCTGCGTACGCTACTGCCCACATAACATTCAATAGGTCAGATATTGGTTAAATTATGTGATCGATACCCTAGACAAATCCCACATCAACAAACCACGGGAGAGATGTTGGGTATATAAGTAAACATGCATCAGACCCTAGTGACACGTTTTAAAGTCGTGTGGGCTTAGGTCCAAAGCGGACAGTATCACTAGTGGCTGAGCTGTTACCGTTTAAGTGTTTAAATGAAACTTTTTATTATATCACTTTATCTTTTTCTTTTAGTGCTAGGTGCACCAGAAGGAAAGCAAAATGTTATGCAAATATCTCAAAGGATGGTGAAGAGTTTTTGTGAAATTCTAAGTATGGGAGACAGATTAGATTTCCCTACTTCATCAGAGATGACAAACAGTGGAGTTCGAGTTTCATTTAGAAAAAATGAAGATATGAGTCAACCAAAAGGCTTGATTGTTACTGCTGCTACTTCCCTATGGCTTCCTCTTTCATTTGATACTGTTTTTAATTTCTTCAAAGATGACAAGACAAGAACTCAGGTTTCTATCTTTCCTTTAATATTCTTTTTAATATTTAAAATTTTTGATTTAATGACAGTTGTGGATTTAATGATATTAGTCCACTGCAGTTTGAGTTTGGTATGTAGCTAGCATTGGTTAAGAAAATGAGCTAACTTAATCTTAAGCTAGGTTTAAAGATTGAGTTACATCAAAGGCATATATTGTTAAAGTTGTTGTTTCGGTTTTCTGTTTGGTTTGCTGGAATTGTTACTTGCCGTTACTCTTTACTCTCTATCTTTTCTGAGCTGAGGGTCTTCCGAAAATAACATCTACCTTTTTCGAGTAGGATTAAGGTATATGCTAACCTCCCCAAACCCCAGTAGTAGAATTACACTGAACTGTTATTGTTGTTGTTAGTCCAGTAAAATAAATAAATTTGTCTTTAAAAAAGTCCAAACAACTTTTAAAAGCGAAATTTAGTCCACCAAACTAACGGGAATAGAGTTTAAAGAGTGGTATTTAACAATATATATGGTGCAAAATCTCATTTTCTTATTATCGTAATATTGGACAGTCCTTAACTCATAAGCCAATTTTTCAAGATTGAATTAGGTCCAAAGTACATTTTCATATCAGTTAATTGTGGATTTGTTTGTTTGATTTCTTAAAGGGGAGCCTTGGCGTGACTGATAAAGTTGCTGCTATGTGACTAGAAAGTCACGTGTTTAAGCCGTGGAAACAGCCTCTTGCAAAAATAACTGCATATAATAGACTCTTGCGGTCTGGTCCTTCCCCAGACCCCGCATATAGCGGAAGCTTAGTGCATCGGGCTATTTTTTTTTTTTTTTTTGCTTAATATCTTGTTATACATGACTTCAGTTTATCTATACAAATTAATGCAAAATTTTAATAATTAAAGTTTGATTTGGTTGATGCAGTGGGATGTTTTAACCAATGGGAATGCTGTGGGCGAGTTAGCCCGAATACCAACAGGATATTTTCCTGGAAACTGTATTTCAATAATTCAGGTATGCACCTTAACTACAAAGTTTTTTCTTAAAATTATTAATATTTAACTCGTATCTTTTTCCTTTAGGCTTTTTAATATTTAGTTATTATTTTATTATTACATAAAAAGGCATTTTCTGTAGCCAATTTCACTTTAGTCAATTATTTTATACTATCAGTATAATTTAAGTTTTACAGCTTGTTATCTGGCTTTTCCAAGTAATACTTTAATTCGGGTTGGGTTAGGTCATTCCTATTTTAAGAAAAAAAAATACAAACATGACTGGTTGGCCGAAAATAATTATATTCGCTAGACCAAAAATATATAGAATATGTATATTATATGTATATAATACATATATATATAAAAATATATATTTTATCGGCTATTATTTTTGAAACGGCTAAAAATATATGTTTCTCCTATTTTATTTGGATTATTATTTATTAAGCCGGAAAATAAAAAACGAAAAAAATGTGGAATAAAGAAATACTATTGAAAAATTATATTTTTCGGTCATTATGATTTTCATGTGAGTTAGTGATTGTTTAATGATTCTTGTGTGAGAAAATAAAGTTATATGACTTTGATGAAAAAAAATCATAATTATATGATCATTTATGAAATTTACTCGTTATTTATAGTTATCTTTTTGGTGATTCGTTAGTGTAAAAAAAATTTCATACACTATTAGTTAATTTCATATACTACCCTCCTCAGACCCCACTAGTAGAATTTTACTGGATCGTCGTCGTCGTCGTTGTTGTTGATGTACCATTAGTTACTGTGTAAAAGTTAAACTTGTCTTTGTTATATCTGCAGCCTTATGTGTCAAAGGAGAACAACATGTTACTGCTTCAAGAGACAAATATCGATCCAATGGGAGCTTTTATAATCTATGCACCCATAGATTTACCAGCAGTTACTTCAATTATCAATGGAGCAGACACCACACAAATTCCCATATTGCCCTCTGGTTTCATCATAAGTCCTGATGGTCGCCTTGCCGCGGATAGGGACAGTAATGGAATTTCACAAACCGGTTCGCTGTTGACAGTGGCTTTTCAGATATTGGTTTCTGCCAATAATAATAATAATTCAATTTCCAAGCAGCAAAATATGGAGGCAGTGGCTACTGTTCATACCCTTTTGAGCTCTACAGTTCAAAAGATCAAAGTTGCATTGGATTGCACTGATTAAAAATAATGATGTTGGTTTAATTTCATGTTGTTTTTTTGTTTTTTTTTTTTGAATTTTCTAAGAGATTTTAAAACTTAGATAAAAATAAATTTGAAGGATGGTGTTTTCCCTTCAATGTGACTTGTGAAATCTCAAGACTGAGATGTTATTGTTGTTTTTTTATATTGATAGACTAATTTTGAGACTTATCTTCTCTCTTTTTTTTTTTTGGTTATTTTTGGTGCATTTTCTTGAAAATTTAGTTCATTCCAATCTTTTTTATTAAGAGTGGAAGTTTAATTTCCTCTGGAATATAATTGAAGTCAGAGTTAGACTCAGAATTTGAAGTTTATGGGTTGTTACAACGACGTACGTCGAGTGATATATAAAATATTTAGTGAGTTCACAGTCAAATATTTATAGATATTAAGTGGATTTTTAATGTAAATTCAAGGTTTGGGTAAAGCTACAAGCTTAAGGCTAGATCCGCCCCTGATTGAGGTTGTCAAGTTACAAACTCATGGTTGCTCAAATTACCGTCCTGAATGTTTAGTTGCTCTAATTCTAAATGTTGGCAGTTGCATCCAGGGGCGGAGCTAGAGGATTGAAAAGGGATTCATCCAAACTCCCGTTGCCGGAAAATCATATTATATACAAGATCAATTTGTTTTTATGTATATGCAGTAGATGTTGAATATCCTTGATAAAAATCCCGCCCCAACTACTGGTTGTGTCCTTTCCATTCTCAATGGACCTCCTGCTTCTATAGGGAGTCCTACCTCTTGCCAAAAAAAATTTGGACACCAAAGTCGTTTCGCCTTAGTGCATCCATTTTCTTGCTTGTTAGCGCTGTTTTTTAAAGAATGGGCCGGACTTGAAGAAGCGACGCGAACCTAGAGACTAAATTTGTAGCCTTAATTCACTTGTTAGTACCAATAGCTGATTTCAATTCCTTTCTGTTGAATTTCTTCTGAACAATATCTACAGATTTCTGAGGCTTCTAAGGTAATTTAGACTTCCTCTGTAACATATGTATCACTAACAGTGAGTCCTATTCTAGTATTATAGGCACATTAGTATTAATCTGTGTCCTTAGTTTGAAAATGGCAACATATGTTTCAAATATCAAGCCCAACATGGAGATTTACGCAGTACACAATCCCTGCACCAAGCTGTAGATCCAAAGTTACACTTTGGCAAGTTTAACTTTATGTCTGCGTATAAACTTTCCGCATATTATGTTTGAACTCCAACACATTATGAAATTCCATCACATCATGTTGGAAGCTCAGATGTAAAATATTCGAACTCAAGCATATTATGTTGGAATATTTTCGGGTTTCTTAGGGTGTTGTTGTTCAGATTTTATCTTTACATGAAAAGGTGACTAAATTTTGATTACTTTTGAAATTATGGTTATTTTTCAAGCAACAGTTGTAAATCTGTCTATTTTTAATTTTTTTCCGGGCCTCAAAATTATTAGCTCGGCCTAACCCATTAAACTCATAATCCAACCCAATTAATTCATTATTTTCATTTTCTTTTATTTTCTTTCTTCTTTTATGCTTCACCGCCACAAAGCTCGAACCATATTACACAATGTCAAGTTTAATTGGCAAAAAAAGTCGACGGATTACCAGAGGATTTTCATTCTCATACATGCTTATATAGGTGAAGTTGGCATTTATTGGCTTTTTATGTATGAAGTAAATTATTTCTTATACGGTTAGACTTTTCTAGAACAATATCCTTATATAACAATCATTCACTATAAAAATTAAACTTTTTTCGGAATCGATTTTTATGTTATGTTATATAGTAATATGTATATTTTATAATAACACTTCACTATCGCAGCCAAAAAATATCGTAACAAATATAATTGTATTGATGATTTGAATATACATGCAAGTATTAGGACTCTTAGCATAGTATTTATCTCATTATCTCATCGCTATCTATCTTGTACGCATTTCATGTATATCTGCAATCTCATTCTTATCTTAGAATAAATGATATAGTTATCTCATAATTTGTAACTCTCATTATAAATAAAACTAAAACGCATGCTCTATAATACATTGAGCAAACTTCTACTCCATTAAATTGCTTCTGCTTTCTACTACTTTTGACATATAGATAAAGGAGACTATCTCTTTTTGTTTCTATTGCAGTTATTCTAATGGCAACAGAACCTTTGCCGTTTCATATTTCTGCTACTTCTCTCGAACTTTCTCCTATACAATCAAACGCTCGAACGATCTCTCTGCATGCTCTGATACCATTAGTAGGGGCGAGGTCTACCCTTTTCCCTCGCGGTTTATTTTCATCTACTCCTCAAGCTTTGTCATCTATTCCTCAAGGTTTTGTTGTTGTCCGTCGTTCTGGTGACGTTAGGTATCCTCGTTGAGGTCGAGTAATTTTGGACAAATTTAAATTAGTTGATCATTGTAGCTCTCATCCATAGGAAAGAACATCGTTTATTATTTAATTTAGTTGATCATAGTAGCTCTAGTTGGGTCATTATTCATTAATCATTATGATGTTTGTCAATCTCCTATATTTAATTATCAATTTTTTGGATATTAATATTATGTTATTTTGTGGATGATTTATCTATTTTTACGTGACTTTATCCCATGAAAAATAAATTTGAGATCCTTCTATGTTTTTGTGCATTTCCAAATAAGTAGGTAGAAACCCTACTGTCCTCAACATGTTCTTCGTGTTCCATATCAGCCGCATAAAATAAGATTGACTAGAACTAGGGGTGTACAGCCTAACCGAAAAATCGCACCAAACCGAAAAGTCAAATCAAACTGATTAAAAAATCCGACTAGATTTGGTTTGATTTGGTTTGGTATTGAGTAAAAAAACTCGAACCAAACCGACATATAAATATATAATTTTTATATATACTTTTAAGATTTTATATAGAATTTTCTTTAAAAAAATATCTAGAAATATTTGGGATTATCATGCGGGATATAATATTTAATAGTATATGAAGTGCTTCATATTTATTAACCTTAAAAAATGGTAATACGATCACTTTCTCATCAAGTGTTATTGAAATGCGTCAATTTCTTTGTTCTTCCATATTCATATCATATGTTAAGATCTACCAAACTGTCATATCTTTTTTCGAATGTGAAGTGATTATTACTATTTAGGTATCATATTAATTTTTATGTTTAATTACTAAATTCGGTTAACCTTGAAAGTGTACATCAATGAAACATTATTGTGAGACGACTAAAAAAATAACAATTATGTGTTACTAAGAAAATTCTCTCATAAGAGTATTTTAATAGATAATATATTTGTCACGCCCCGAAACTCGGCCTGGACGTAACACGGCACTCGGTGCCTGACTACATGTGACCGAGCGAACCAACTGGCTGGCTGAATCAACATGTGATATCATAATATACTAAATGCGGAAGATAAACTAACACATGCTGATATACTGAAAGTCTGGATAATATAAATCAAAGTGCAAAAAAACTAATACAATTTTGAAACATATTTGTAGCCAACATAGCTTAATATGAAAAGCCCGTGACTTTGTATAACTCTTACTCTAGTCTATGAAGCACTGAAAACATTGACTATCTGTATATACTGAAAGACTGTAAAGTAATGATAATGCTTCGAAAGAACTGGGGATCACCAAATAACTGGTACAAGAATCCTAGCGCTCTACGTCGTCGACCTGTAAATCATTACCTGCATTGTGAGATGCAGGCCCCGGGCAAAAAGGGACGTCAGTACATTTGAATTGTACTGGTATGTAAGGCAACTGAAAGAAAGAATTATAAATGTTGAAACTGAAACTAAGCTGATAACTGAGAATTGATAATTGATAACTGAAATGATAACTATTGAAACTGAAACTGAAATGATAACTGATAAATTAAATGATAACTAATAAATGATAACTGGACTGATAACTGGTAACTGAAGTGATAACTGATAACTGGTAACTGATATGATAACTGATAACTGAACTGAAAGGAAGTAAGGATATGAATACTCCCTCTTCTGAATGATGAACAACCTGTTTATCTGAATATTAAACTGCGACCTCAAGCCCAATATATATATGTGCACAAACTGCGGCCTCGGGCCCAAGTATACGTATACATAATTGCGACCTCAGGTCCAAAATGCATAAAGCATAAACTGCGACCTCAGGCCCAAAAATGCATAAAGCATAAACTGCGGCCTCAGGCCCAAATACAAGTGTTCAACATTCAGGGATTTAAAATCAGGAACTGAGAATCATACTGCAATATATGATAGTGAAATACTGAATCACATTGAGTTACATCATACTGGAATACTGGATCACACTGAGTTACATAATACTGGAATACTGAATAGGACTAGATTGAGACATGTATTCTTGAACTGATTATGAACACTGAAACTTCAACTGTTTATGGCATACTGAGTAATCTATACTAAGACTCGGGGGCATCAAACCCAAGTCTATATTGAATACGCACTGAGCTCACAACGTTCAGAATGAAAGTCATGAACGAGTTATGAAGCTAGAGAATAGAAGCTCTACAACTATTCAAGGAACTAGGCTTAACTATATTTTTGAGGCAATTGATACGTCGTAAAAGAGACATAGTGTAGGGAGAATCATTAATATTCCCAAACATAGAAAGTTAGCCTCACATACCTTAACTTCCTTCTCTTGAGCATAATACAACATTCGCCAACCCCTTCAACTTCAATCTATATCAATACAAGTCAAAGGGATTCCGTATTAGCAATAATACTCATGTTTTGGTCACTTAGGTATTTTCTCAAACACTTGGTGACATAAAGCTTTATAGTCATTATTAATGGTGTCTCTACACCTAATAACCCATTCTCTTGCTCCTAGATAAATTCTAAAGTCTCAAATAGTTATAATTAACATTATTCTTTATCATCCATAAGGTAAACAACATCCTTAACCAATAATCAACAATCAACAAGCCAAACCTATAATTGTTCATGCTTTTCTATCAAAGCCATCAACTCATATCTCATGAACTTGAGTCAATAATTATTAATCCAATGCTAGAATCAATTAGAGGGTGAAGATATTACCTTTTTGACGTTCAATCTTCTTGAATTCGAGTTCTAGGGTT